GAGAGCATTTGGCTTCCAAGGACCGGTGCTCAGCTACTGCAGTCCCCCACCCTGAGACTGTGCTGCAGCCGAATCGTCATCCCTCTGCGTGCATCCACCCCCCACGCCTGCAGGGTGTTTGCTCGGCCTCGGTTCGACCCGGACAGTGGTCCCACAAGCAGCCCCACGGAGAACAGCACATTTAATAGTTCCTCTGAATTAATTTCCCAAGTCACAACACTGCAGCAATGTACAGACATTTACAGGAGGGTTTCTGGCATATATTAGTGCTCTTGCTATATACATATAGTACAGCCTGCGGGGAGCAAACGGCACCCGCATGCGGGGCACCCCGAAACAGAGCCATGGTCCCTGCGCTGCCGAGTCACACGGGCCCCTTCAGGTCGAGTTGGTTTTAACCAGAGCTCAGCCCTGAGCCTTCATGGGCACTACCGGGGGTGATGCCACCCGTGGCAGAGCTGGCACCCCTGGCTTTGCCCACCCTGCTCTTTCGGGGGGTTTGCAGGACAGACACCCCCCGCAGGGATGCTCCCGAGGGAGCAGGAGCCGCCTCCACGGCGGCAGCGTTCCCGCTGTCCTGCTCCTCTCTCCTCAGTGGCAGCCGCAGCTCCCGGCCACCATGTCATCGTACTGCTTGAGGACCACGTTCTCGTCATCGTCGAAGTAGAGGAGGTTGATGGAGTGGAGCTTGTCGGGCACGCAGCAGGGGCTGCTGACGCCCTCGCTCAGCTTGAGGGCGTTGATGATGGACTGCACGGTGGCGTGGTTTGTCGGCCGCATGTTCTCACCCAGCGGGAAGGGGCAGGAGCCCTTGCAGTGGTAGGCGTTGTACCCCCGCGGGGAGATGATCCAGCCGGACCAGCCGATCTCCTCGAAGTCCACAGACAAGGGATGCCTCTGGCAGGGCTGGAGCCGGTCCAGCGAGCGTGCGCGGCGCAGCCCGCTGAGTTTGGGCAGCGGCATCTTTGCAGGGAGAACAGGAGCCTGAAGCTGTGAATCTGCCAGAAATGAGGATGCCATGAGCCATCCCGTGAGCCTGGGAGGACGGAGAACACAGCACAGCCCCTCCAGCCACCCTCCTGCAGGTTTTGCCGGCAGCCGTCTGGTGCAGCAAGTGCTTTGGTCACAGCCTGTCACCAGACAAGGCAGAGCCACCAGGAGGTGACAACCTCACAGCGCCACAGCCAGGAGAGCAAAATACAAATTTATATCTGAATTTTTCTTATATTTGCACCCCTGCACATACTAGACCAGCAAGGAGACAGCCTCACCCTCTGGCCAGAGAAGGAACTTTGGATTTGAAGGTGCCCACGTGCGCAGAGCACCCCAGTGCCCCACGGGTGAGGGGACAGTGGCACAAAGGGAGCCACGCCAGGGCACACGGGACCCACCTGGGAAGCCAGCCGTGGGCAGGGACGCTCCCCGGCGCCCATCGTCCGTGAACAGGACCAGCATGGGCTTCTTGCTCTCGTGGTGGTCCCTGCCGGATGCGAACTGCAGCGGGGGGGGCTCAAGTGCGCTCCCGCCCAGGCCCTCTGGACCGTCACCAGCAGACCCTGGTTGCTGCTTTCATCGTCCGTCCAGTCCCGAACCTGGGGAACAACCCAGGGTCACCGTGTGCCGCGGGCTGGGACA